CAGAGTTTCATCCCACTGCCCTTCTTCATATGTTCATTTGGTGATCGGCTTATGTCTGAGCCAGTCCTCCTGCCTCAGCCTCCCAGAGAGCTGGGATTACAAGCTCACACCACCATATCCAGGAGGACCAGCAGTTTTTACCTTGTCTCAGCACAGAGAACCAGCCTGCACTGTGGCTGTGAGCTAGCAGAATGCCAGCTGGCTGCTGCTGTCCAGTACCCCTCATGTCCACCTGGCATTTTCATCTGCCTCCAGCTCCCTCGTGTCCTTCTCAAACTGGAGTAGAGGTCAGGTCACAGTCTATCCACGCCCATAGACAGGGCCTCCAGTAGCCCGAGCAACCTAGTGCCTCAGTGAGACCCCATCTCAAAATAAAGGGGGCATTGAGGAGGCTCAGTGGGAAAGCCCTGGGCTCAGTCCCCAGCCCCGTGCACATAGCCAGGACTGCTGCTTTCTAGGCCCTACCCAAGTTCTTACTCCAGGTGTAAGTGAACTTATCTGTGAGGCAGACCTTTATTTTTATTTTTTATGTATTTTGCATAGGGTGTCACTGTGCAGCTTGGACTCATAGTGATCCTCCTGTTTTCAGCCTCCCCAGCGCTGGGATTACAGGCATGCACCATCTCACCCAGTCTCAGTGGTGTCTCTACATGCCTGGGTGTGGGGCTGGTGTGGCATGTGGTACTGGGGACCGAACCCTGGTCCCTGCACTTGCCTAAGCAGGCGCTTAGTCTGCTGAGCTATCTCCCTGGCCCTAGACCTTTATTTTTAAATTTTCAAACCTTTCTAGGGCCAGGGAGATAGTTCAGTGGCTTAAGCACTACCTGGCAAGCACAAGTCTTGAGTTTGATCCCTGGTACTGAAAAAAAGAAAAAGCCTTTCTGTAGACTAAAAAAGTGAGCTGTGTGTGTGATTTTGCTACCTTCCTGATACAGTGCCCTTTGTCACTAGAAAATATTAGTAGCAGGCAGTATTTTATGTGTGCTACCACCAGCTGCTGCTTGGCCCCAGGGGCCCAGTGGCACAATAGGACAGGCTGCATGGCTCAGCGAGCGCGCACGCCCTGCATCACATCAGCTTAGAGCAATCACCGACAGGACGCAGTCAGTGTGGCTGGCTGTGCAGACCAGTCCCCCGACCGTGGCTGCACCGCTTCCTTCCCAGCACCCGGCGTGATGGATGCTCTGAACTGAGAGCAAATTAGAAAGCGCAGTGCAGCTGGAGACCACCCTCTCCGCAGAAGGAAGTGGCCACCGCGCGTCCCCGCGAGGCAGGTTGGGTAGGGGCAGCTTCCGATTCTGCCAGTGGTTACTGTGGGAATGATATTGTGATGCGGAGGAATTTATTTCTTTTTCGTGAGGCCTAACAGCTTAGTCTTTGAAGTCCAATGATGTTTTTTGCCCTCTATTGAATTGAAGCTAATCAATTCAAATTCAGTCTCCTCGAGACTGGTCAGAGGCAGGTATGATGGTGGAGGAAAGCAGGGCTGTTTGTACTAAAGGTTTCCGTCCCGTAGTGAAGATCAAATGTACAGGGAATTGGTCAAACCAGTTTTAACAATAAAGGTTCAACTATTAAACAAACCCATGAGTTCACTGCCTTCTTTTTTTTTAAGTTTTATTTTTATTTATTTGTGTGTGTGTGTGCGCGCGGCCAGCTCAGCCCACCAGGGGGCGGGGCTGGCTGGCATGTGGTGCTGGGGGATTGAACCGCGGTCCCTGGGCTTTGGACAGCTCACTGAGCCATCTCATTGAGCCATCTCACCAGCCCCACTTCCTTCTTTCAAGTAAGCGATCCCCTTGTCTGTATGCTGTGTAAAAACAAAGCCTGGGGGCTGGTGAGATGGCTCAGTGGTCTAAAGCACCTATTTAGAACAAGCTAAGCAAAGCAAAACACAGGGACCGTGGTTCTATCCCCCAGCACCACATGCCAGCCAGCCCCGCCCCCTAGTGGGCTGAGCTGGCCACACACACACAAAATAAATAATTTTTTTTTAAATCTATT